CATGCTCAGTGTGAGGGATTGCTGAAGAGGCAATGAGTCGATGCAATCAGCTGGTTTTCCTTAGATAGAAAACTTTTAATCAATCTGACTGGATGATCTGGTGAACTGGAAAGTGACCTGAGATGACATGATTTGAATTGGAGCTATAGAAATAAACTGAATAGAATTGAATGCCAACGTGTGCCGGTATGCTTTGGCATACTTATAACTTCTATAAACGGGTCACTGTCTAATCCATTTAAAAGTGAAGGCGATTCCCTGTTGGACATAAAAACATCCAATTCTCTTCTGCATGTTGATTTTGTGCAATAGTCTCATCTGGGACCACCTACCCTCTGAGTCGCTGCTGAGGTGGTCCTCCGTGCTCTGCAGGCCGTGTCTGTCTTCTCGTTCACAGTGAGTCATTTTCTCTGTACGAGGAGAACTTTTATATTCCTGCAGATAAAAGAGAACGAGAGGCGGTGTCATTTAGGCCGTAAACTCACTGATATATCAGTATTTAAAGATGGTGTGTTCAGGATGAGCATTTAAGGTCAGAGGCATGCTGCTCGTATCAGAAGGGTTAGAAATGCAGGGCTGGGTTTGCAAAGATAGGAAAATAAGGAGGAGGAGGAGGAGGAGGAGGAGGAGGAGGAGAGTACTAAGTACAGTGTTAGTGAGGATAGTGAGGCTGGGTGAATGCCACTCTGAGGCCTTAGTTTTATATTCAGCAGCTGAAGCTTCAGTCACTTTAAAGACTGATGGGCGAAGCAGAAAGCTGATGATTCGACCACTAATAGGTTCCTTAACAACAACATTAAAATACAAAACAATTTTATAAGCCAAGAAAAAAAAACGAAACAATAATTTGGTCAATCTTCTCGTCAATGAAAGAATTTCCCATCGTCATCCTTTTTTTCATGACGATAACGAGAACTGACGAGCTAAACGTGGATCTTTGATCACTAAAACATGACCAGTCAGTCAGACATTTAAACTGCATCATTGTGCTGTAATCTGCTGAGCAGCATCAGCCGTGCTGCTGCACCTTGTTCAGTCACGCCCCCAACTGGCGTGCAGCGGTACAGATTCTGCAGGACCACAGAGGGACCATGGCAGCAGGTCTAAGAAAATAACCCGGAATGATCCGGTACTGCACGCTGAACTCTGACTAACTCTGATCCTCGAGCTGTGCAGAAATGCTTCTTTGCGCTGCTTAGCTCAGAGTCGGTTCGCTCTCAGCACTACGGCTCTTCCTGCTCTCGCTACTTAATAAACTAGATGTGGCTGATCATCCTCTGCCAAGCATAAAAAAAACATTTACTATCAAGATTTTATTCCTTCCAGCTCACAAGAGGTGATGCTAAACATTCTTTTATTTCTACCAAAATTAATCACTAAATTATATCCAAAGCAAATATTTCATTGAAATATTGTTTATTTTTGGATAAAGATCCAGATGAAAAGGTTCATAGATCTTTGAATATATCTTTCTTATTGTTCTCGTTTCTGTTTAAATATGATGTAAATGTTTCCTTGAATTGTCAATAAAACATTTTCTCTGTTTCCTTTAAATGTTTCAACATATTTAGCATATTCATTAACTTTAGGTCTGGGTTGCCATGGCATTACAAGGCAGTTATGGAGGTTCTCTGTATTTGTTTTCTATCAAACCCTGTGAACTTAAATCTACTTTGAGCAGCAAGAACCGAGGGGGAAATCCTGGATCCAAGAAGAATGTTTTTGTTCTTTTTTGGAGTAATGCAGATTTTATAGATCTATGTTTAATGCAGAATTTATAGCAGATCAGGAAGTGTTTGCTTTGGGATGGAAACCTTGGATGATGAAATAATTCCTTTATTGGACATTCTGTCTTCCTGCTATATTAACCAATATGATTAGTTGAACTAGATCTGCTGTTTTCATAACTTTTTTAAGACACTTTTTTATAAAGTAGGGCATTAATTCTTAAAAAAGTTTAGATGAATTCTATAAATCAAAGTTTCTGTCCAACAGCAATGATGATCTGCACGGCAGCATTCTATACCCAGCTATTGTAGCATCTAGTATAGAGCTGCAGGCTGGGAAAGAATCTGCTTGTAATTCCAAATTATAAAGTTTAACTTTGTTTTGCAACATAAAACTGACTAAAACCAGTGTGTCGCAGTGGTCTGCGCTATGTTATTCCACGCCACAACACCAGAGGGCCAATCAAGAACTAGCTGTGGGTCTGTGGGCCGGGGCGGTGAGGAAGTGGGGGCAAGTTTGTGCGACAACGGAGGGACATGAGGGCCAAAAAGAGGATCCAGGTGGAAAAAGGGTCCCGCTGACAATGCAGACCACCTGGTTTCTTAGTATAACCAGGCCTCTAAGATGGCTGTCAGAAACAACACTGAAGGTAGTCATTGGCTGTGAGCCTCCAGCTGCACGATTTGTCCATCGGAGAAACAGGACTGCCTGTAATCTTGAACCAGGCTGACCTCAAGCTGACCCCAGGCTGACCTCAGGCTGACCCCAGGCTGATCTCTAGAACCAGGCTGACCCCAGGCTGACCTCAGGCTGACCCCAGGCTGATCTCTAGAACCAAGCTGACCCCAGGCTGACCTCAGGCTGACCCCAGGCTGAACTCTAGAACCAGGCTGTCCCCAGGCTGACCTCAGGCTGACCCCAGGCTGATCTCTAGAACCAGGCTGACCCCAGGCTGACCTCTAGATCGAGGCTGACCTCTAGAAACAGGCTGACCTCTAGAACCAGGCTGACCTCTATACCCGGCTGACCCCAGGCTGACCTCTAGAACCAGGCTGAACCCAGGCTGACCTCAGGCTGACCTCTAGATCCAGGCTGACCTCTAGAACCAGGCTGACCCTAGGCTGACCCCAGGCTGACCTCTAGAACCAGGCTGACCTCTATACCCGGCTGACCCCAGACTGACCTCTAGAACCAGGCTGAACCCAGGCTGACCTCAGGCTGACCTCTAGATCCAGGCTGAGCTCTAGAACCAGGCTGACCCCAGGCTGACCTCTAGAACCAGGCTGACCTCTATACCCGGCTGACCCCAGGCTGACCTCTAGAACCAGGCTGACCCCAGGCTGACCTCTATAACCAGGCTGAACGCAGGCTGACCTCAGGCTTACCTCTAGATCCAGGCTGACATCTAGTACAGGCTGACCTCTAGAAGCAGACCAAATAAAGATGGCCGCCATCACTCTGCTTTCTGTGCTGCCTGGTTTGTGTCTGAACCCAAAGTCCAAACAGCCTTTTCCTGGATAAGCCTTTAATCACATTGCAGCCGCCTTTTCTTACTCCAACATGTTTTTCTGTTTGTTTCTGTAATATAATAAAATTAAACCAACACTAGCTCAGATCAAGGAGCAGCGGATTAGAGCAGGTTTAAGATCCAGGTGCAGAAGAATCCAGAGGAGAAAGCAATGCCTCCTCTGCTAAGGCCACTAATCCCTCTGCACCAAACTTTCCCCTTCGGCTGAAGGCAAGTCCAGACATGCATATTTAAAGAACATTTCATTAACAAGACAATTTAAAGTAATTTACAAGAAAAGATGATGACAGATAAAAAAAAAACACAGAGAGGAGGACTTCAGAGGCAGAGAGAGAAAAGATAAACTATTTCTATTTAGGTTTCAGCTGAATAGAACAATTAAAGGCTGATTTTTGTTTACAATTTTATTTGTTCAAATTTTTCTTTTTCAAATGATGAATTCGTCTTTTAAACTGTTTCACATGGATTTCACTTCAATGTTGTTGCTAAGTAACGTCCAGCAGACCAATAGAAACGAGTCTTTGTGAAATGCAATTAGAAGAAAAATGAAAAAATGAAACAAAACATGAAATAAATAAATAAATAAATATGTTTTTTTGATTTTAACCTGAGAGAACAGCAGCCATGGTCTTTAAAACAGAGGATTCTTAAACAGGACTTCAACCTTTAGAAGCTGAATCCATGTCAGACTGAACAGTTCTGGGATCAGTCGTCAGAAAGCGTCGCCAGGCGTCAAACAAGCTAAGAAAACCATTTCCTGTTGGTCCTTCAGCAGAGCGAAGCGCCCCACCATATGGCGTTTATCTAACAGGAACATTGAACCTCCAGACCTGCAGCCCCCCCAGCTCAGATCAAACTTTCATTTATCATCTACATCTTTTCTATAAAGGCTTTTAAATAAGTTTGCTTCATTTCTTCAATTATCTTCCTCTAATTTACTGACTTAAACAGTGAAGATGGTGTTTAGTTCTTTCCTGACAGAAAGGGACGAATGCTTCAACAGTTGGACTCAAGATAAGAAAATAAAGAATTATAAACATGTATGATATTAAAGTTATTTTTGAGTTTCAAAAGTCTTTTCAGGGATGATTAATCGTGAGCATGCAGAGAAAACTCACCATTTTCACGGCCCCGTCCCGCTCCTTCTCCCCCCTGCTGTGACTCCTCAGCAGCTGCTGGGCATCGTGGATGGCCTGAGTGACCACGTCACCTTCTCCCAGGAAACCTGAAGGGACGGACAGTTAAAGTGAGGAACTACGGTAGGTAACCATGGAAACAGACTGACACCATGTTGGCGTTTTTTCTGCACAATGAAAGGATCTAAACACATCTGGAAACAGATCAGACCAACACGCCTCCAAAGATTAAACATTAAATTACATTAATCCCTAATCAGGGACAGTTCTAGACAGGGGCCAGCAGGGGCCAGCAGGGGCCAACAGGAGCCAATAGCAGCCAACAGGGGCCAACAGGGGACAGCAGGGGCCAGCAGGGGCTAGCAGGAGCCAGCAGGAGCCAACAGGAGCCAACAGGGGCCAACAGGAGCCAACAGGGACCAACAGGGGCCGCCCTATTGATTAATATTATTATTATTATTATTATTATTATAATACAGATTCTCTGAAATCGTTCAGAAAACCTTAGACATCATTAGATTAACCAGAAAATGTGCTGATTTATAAGACGTTTTCTGTCTTTGTGAAATATTTATCTACATATCGACATTTTATCACATTTTAAATGTCGATGAAAAAGAAGTTTAGATCGATGAGCAGCAAACAAGATGGAAAGCATGAAACAATATAGTACAGCAAAAAAAATAGAAATAAAACACAATTATTGTTATATTATTTACACTAAAATCTTTCTCTGCATATAGATATTCACAAATAAGATTAAAAGACCTAAACTGTCTCGCTTTGCTTTGTTCAAAAAAACAATAATCTAAACACCTTTATGTCATGATCGTCTCTGACTCAATCTGGAGCGACTTTGGCGCCATCGTGTGGCCGCATGTGGGTACTGCACTAAGGTCGGATGTGAATCTTTAAACTTCCTAATTTTCCACATCCAATTAGTGGAAAGGAGTTAAAGATGCAACAAAACTCCAGGTGCAAAGAAGAGGGTTTTTAAGGTTAGCTAATGAAGCTAACAGAGCTAACTAGACCTTCCAAGTTTGAAACCAAGTCCAGTGGATTGTTTTTAATTTTTTTTGGGAGGATCTAATTATCTTATTTTAAGAGTAGAAAATACTAATTCCATTGGCAAACCACTTATTTACCTGCTTAGATTAAGGGTAAATACACTTACTTTTTACTCATTTTTACTCATATTTAGATTGTTTTTGCTGCGTGAAGGATCTTCAGGAATCGCCCGTCTTATCTTAAAGGGATAGTTCGGGATTTTTGACATGAATCTGTATGGCATCCCCATCACCAGTGTCATGCAATCACACTGACTTACCCCTGGCAGCATCCTGTGAGCAGAGTTCTCGTCCAGCTTTGGTCAAGCCGAAAGTAGTACGGCAGGTTTACCAGACCCAGCGAAATAAAACGTTTCTCTTCCCAAAACATTATGTGTTCAAAAGAGTGATATTTTTGCATCCCAAAAACATTGTAGTGGAAAAAGTCACACGTCGTTATCACTTGGTCCTATTTTCTCTCTGTTCGTATCAGTGCGCGCGACACCATGACCTGACAGCTAGGGCCTACCTGTTTGATTCGCGATTGTTTACTACTGGGGAAGATGTCTGACTACGAGAGCGACGAGGAAAACATCGACTTCCACTTAGAGCCAAAGGGATATCTTTATGAACCCGAGTACACTGACGATGAACTTCGACAAATGGAGTTAGATCGGGCAGAAAGAGAGAGGGTGGACAGAGAAGTGATGGAAGCTGAAGCCGGAGCCGCAGGATACAGAACCTTTCCATTGATGAGGATGTCGGAGTTGCAGCAGCTGCTGTCTGCATCACAAACAACAGCAACTTCCCTGCCCTCCTCAAATGTCTAATGAACTTGGTTAGCTCTAAAGCTAGCTCGGTGGCGTTGCTTGTAAACGCAGCTGCTAAGTTAGCACTGAAATGAGCTGGAAAAGTTGAGCTCGCTGTCTGAATGACGGCGCGCTCTGATACGAACAGAGAGAAAATAGGACCAAGTGATAACGACGTGTGACTTTTTCCACTACAATGTTTTTGGGATGCAAAAATATCACTCTTTTGAACACATAATGTTTTGGAAAGAGAAACGTTTTATTTCGCTGGGTCTAGCAAACCTGCCGGACTACTTTCGGCTTGACCAAAACTGGACGAGAACTCTGCTCACAGGACGCTGCCAGGGGTAAGTCAGTGTGATTGCATGACACTGGTGATGGGGATGCCATACAGATTCATGTCAAAAATCCCGAACTATCCCTTTAAGGCTGGATTTTATTATTGCAGCTTCCTCAGTCATAAATTTTGGTTTGACACTTTGTTCAGATGTTATTATGTCCTATTAGAGGTTGAAAACTTTTGTTTTTCAGCATGACAGAAAGCTGTGCAGGGTTACTCACTGAGGGTGGGCCGTGGGGGGCTGTGGGACGCCTCTCTGTGGAGATCTCTGAATCTGTAGCCCCCCTGCAGCCCCAGTGATCCCAGCTCCAGGCTCTGTGGGCTGGATGTCTTCCCCACTTCCATCCCCTTAGGCTTGGAGGTCAGGTTCAAAGGCTGGCTGGCCTCCTTCACAAAAACAAAAATCAGGCAGAACAGGAGAAGGTGAGGGCGTGCGTGGATCCCAGGCATGAACGCAGCGGTTAACATGTTGGAGCAAATCCGTCACACCTTAGCAGGATTTCTGTGTGTTATTCTCATCCCCTCATTCTCTTTGTTTATTCAGGCTGTGTTGTTCTATCTCTGCTTGAGAACCTTCCGTGCAAACGGTTTGCTCCACACGCACGCACACCTACGCTGCACGCATTAAAGCTTTGAACGGAGGGTGTGGTGTATTCCTAAAGCTTTTCAGCCTCCCTAAATACTAGAAAAACCCATTGTTTGTTCAATCCAGCGGGAATCACTTTCTTTAACAGGCTTCAAACCACAAGTGCTCTGCATGGAAAACTTTCCCCATCTCCTCTTTGGATGAAGGTATAAAGAAGTTCTCCTACCTGCCTGAAGGAGGTGGTGCTCCTCTTGATGGAGGCGGGGTGACTGCTCTGCAGCAGCTGGATGGGATAGTCCACCGCTGTGAGAGACGAAGCAGCGGGAATAAATACAAGCGGACATAAAGCAGCCATGTGGCATTTTCCTCACTTTGACTGATGCAGATTTATTGAGGCTGCAGCTATCGATCATTTTAGGAACCCATTCATCTATAAATATAGTTATAATAAATAAACATTTTTAAAATTAAAAATCATAATATAGGAAAAACATTATTATGCATTTAAAATAAATAGCAAATTGTAAAAACTAAGAATAAATACATATAGATAATATAGTTATAGATGTTATAGATCATGTAATACATTCAATTAAACAATTACGCTTTTAATAGAAAAATAGTAGATATTTTAAGTTAAAAAAAAAACGATTGTTTTTATTTGTGGAGTTTTGTCTTCATCATTGCTGCGTTTTTATTTCAGCTTGTTGTAGAGTCTGTTTACCGTTGCTATGGGTAACGGTTTGATTCAATGAAAGGAAAAATGATTTCAAATATCCATGAATCTGATTGATCATTTCAGCCCAATTATTAATGAATTAATAAATGAATATGCTTTCTAAAATAAAAGCTCAACTTCAGCAGCCTTCATTACAGAGCAGATAGATTCTGACTGGACTAGATCTATGTCGCTCACCACTGATGGTACATTTTCCCAAACTCCTCAGATTTCTGTGATTTATATTATTTATGGCCGTTAAGCTTTTGATTACATGTTTAGATTTTGATTTGATCAGGTGGGAGAACTCATTGTTTAGTGAATTTAGAGCATTTTGATTTAGGGCTCATTTTCATTTTTTTATTTTCACTCCAACAGTGATGATAAATAAATGATGAAAGACAGACTGGATTAAGCATGAATAAAAATTTAAAGCAGTTTGCAGAACATTTTAGAATGAGTTTTTTTGTTTGCATTCATATAAATATACTGGTTTGATATCTTAGTATATATTTGATTGGTTTTTGGTACGCTGGTGAAGATTCTCAGTCATCCAGGTCAGACGCGTTCCAAAAAAAATCTAATTCAATCCTCTGGACTTTGTTTCCAGGTTTGAAGATGTTTCTCTTCCATCCAGGAAGCTTTTTGAATTCAAAATGTCAGAAATAGTGTTTAGTTCCAGGTTTTATCCAGCAGCCCAACAAAGCCTGGTTTTAGTTTAGAAAACATGCAAATAAAAACAGAAGAACAGGTCCCCCCCTTTGGAATGGGGGTCATTTGGCTTCTTTGTTAGCCTGCAATGCCCCATACCTGTCTATCCAGAAGGGCTAACGGTTAGCTGCAGGCTAACATCCCACCAAGGAGGAATAACTTTCCTTTTGGCTGCGTTTGTAAGGAAGTTGATCTAGTTAAAGATCAAAGTATTTAGTCGGTTCAAACCAAAAACATCTGGAAGATTCTTTAAAACCCAGTGTAGACTTTAGCTTGGAAGCTGTTTTAGCTTTGTTTTTATCAGGTATGAAAGAAACGTATGCCGAAGTTTAAAACGTTGAAGGAAACCATTCCCATAGTTTGTTTTTGATATTGCCATTAGTTTCGAATGTGTGGGAAGTTTTCCTCCTAAAATAGGGTTAGGGTTTCACTCTGACTCATCAGAAAAGGTAAAGAGACTGAAACTCACCGGGCTTGCACGGGATCGGCTGCACCGGATATGTCATCTGAGATTCAGAGGTGACAGGGAGCGGCTGGGAGTTTGGGTGGAAAGCTGGGATCATCAGGAAGGGCATGTTTACCTGCTGGGACAGAGCAGGACAGGACGATTCTTAAAGACAATGTTTAGTTCAGTCAGATTAATCAATCTGACTGGATGATCTGGTGAACTGGAAAGTGACCTGAGATGACATGATGTGAATTGGAGCTATAGAAATAAACTGAATAAAAAAAATTTCCCCCAACAGTCCCCCCATGCTTTCTGCACTGGCTCGGATCTATGAGGCCATGTGAGAGCTGTAGAGAGGAGCTGACCTGGATCTGCTGCTGAAGCTGGTTGATGGTTCGCTGCTGCTTGATGAGCAGCTCCTGCTGCTTGGCGATCTGAGAGATAAGGCGCATTATTAGCAACCACAGTGGCACAAGCAAGAACAAGCTAAGCGGGCTGGGCTGCCTGTTTGGAAAATGACATAAAGCATAGATTATTTTCACATTTTCTCACTGGTGGTATTCACAGTGACCACAGAGGGATTCTGCTTGGCCGCAGCTCTTCCATTATCCCATCATCAAGATGTTATGAAATGTTGCTGCTGAGGAAAAGCGTACCTCTTCCTGCTGCCGCCGGGCCACCTCCATCTGCTGCTGCTGCTTCTCCAGCAGCAGGGCAGCCATGTTCCTCTGTTCTGAATGGGCGTTGAGCAGCTGCTCTCTCAAGCCGCTCAGCTGGTTTATCATCATCAACAGCTGGAGCTCCTTCTCCGCCAGAGACTCAGGGGTTCCTGGAAGGAATCAGTGCATCAATCTATCGGAAAACTCATCTTATTCATCATAGTGATCCTCTTCTAGGACGCTAACTACAGCTTCAAATGTCAACTCCTCAGATCAGCAATCTCTTTTTATAAGTAGACTCTTCTAGAAGCTAAAACTTAACCTCAGAACAGAAACTGTATAGAAAACAGATCTGTTTGTTTCAAATTAATCAGCAACGAGCAGGGAGAGCTCTGATTGGCTAAGAGCAGTGATGAAGAGAAGCCAGCGTGCTTCATCTTTTAGGGCCTTTATGATCCTGCTTGGATCCTCATACAGTCATCTTTACGAGAGCAATGAGGGAAAGTCTTTTATGGATTCTCTATAGAGCTACGCAGCTTCAAATGCCCCCCCCCCCCCTTATTGCAAAACTACATACCCCGTGGTTCGCCTCCTTAAAGTGTGCTTCTCCTTGCAGGTTCTAGCTCTTAAAAGTCTGATGTCAGATTTCTGCACCTAAAAACACCCTGTCTACTTTTAAGGCTAGGCTTAAAACTTTCCTTTTTGAAAAAGCTTCTAGTTAGAGTGGCTCAGGTTATCCTGAGCTATCTCCATAGTTCTGCTGTTATAGGCTTAGACTGCTGGAGGACATAGGGACCCCTATTTCATCATTCTGCTTCATTCTATCTCTATTCTCCCACTCTGCAGAATCTGTTAGTTCAATCTCTAACGTTCTGCTCT